GTGTACATTAAAATTAAAATTATTTTTGGGCCAAAGTCTAAGTGCTTTATAAATTAAATCATTTTGTGAGTAATTTGTTGTTCTCATTTACACAAAGAAATGTTAAAGAATTACATAAATTATTGTTTTTATATCAAACTAACCTCATGAGTTGGACGTTAAATTAAGTTCTGAATGGTTATTTACTTATTTTGTTATCATTTGTAATCATACCCTAAGTGGCTAATTATCAATACTTAAACATCTTTCTTACGTTTATTAAGCAAAAATAAAATTTACAAAAATTAGTTCCTAATGGTAAACAGTTTGTATATGATAGTAAAATACTTATTTTTTCTCTGTGGCGGATCGGATATCGCGAGCTCTACAATTAGTACTACATGCAACTGCAACTGCATCTCCTGCGTCCAGTGTCCAGCGTCCAGTGTCCATCGGACTCCGACAGCTCCAGTCGGAGGATGGATCCAAAACGGGCAAGTGGCCGGCGAGCAGTTCGTACATTCGTGCAATGTTGGCCAATGCTCCCCCCCAAAATTGGCGTGCAGCGGAAAAATGAGACAACGTGATCCAAAGACTCTCCAGCGATCCAGCCGCCGATTCCAGCTCCAGCTCCATGCAGCACGCACATAATTCATAAATGTTGCCACAGCCACAGCCATTGCCATCGCCATCGCCATAGCAGCTGGCGGGGATCTGGAGGTATCTGCATCTGTATCGGTGTCTGCTGGGCTGGGAGATGCATTGGCACGCACTTGGCCAGCTCCACTCTCCATCCTCCATCTTCCAGTCTCTGCTCGCCGCATTGGCCATCAACACCAATCGCCAAATGGCGTTCGTGTGTGGCAAGTGACACACGAGGCGCTGCAGCACAGCTGGATGCGTTCTCCTCATCCACTCGCATCTGGATCTCTGAACCAGGTGGTTGAGGATGTGGATGTGGATGTGGATGTGGTGTGCCAACAATGCCTACAAATGGGGGCCATCCATCAGAGCCCCTGGAGTTGGATTCCCACAGCCGGGAGAGCTAAGATCGGGATAAGTGCCAAAGCCATTAAACATAATTCTCACAATGAAAACGGAATTTGACTTCATAATCCCTAGTTTACGCTGTTAAAAGACTATAATCTATTGGTCGAATATGGCTAAGAAAACAATGCATATATCATTTTATCAGTCAAGGGACAACAACTTTCGAGTAAATCTATTAATATATATGTATATAAAACCAAAGAGAGCGGAATTTGTATGCTTCTTACTTGACTTAAAAATCCATAGTTTATGGTGACAAGACTATACAAAATTGGTAAAATATAGTCAAGAAAACACACTATATATCATAAAATTAATAAAGAGATAAGGCAATTCTAGTAAATCTATTTACAAATCTATTCCCACAACGAAAACGGAATTTGTAAGGTACTTACTTGTCTTCATAATCCTAGCTTCATGCTGTTTAAAGACTATAATATATTAGTTAAATATTGTTAAGCAATCAAAGCAAATATTATTCGATCAAACAAGAAACAACAATTATCTAGTAAATCTTTTTAGAGCTATTTAATGTCTAAGGTTGTGAGCCATGAATTTGCTACTCAAAAGAAATCAAACATTAACAAGACAATTTCGATAATGCAGTTAAGTTTATTGCTTCTCGTTTAGTTTAGCTTAGTTTCACATTAGTTTAGCTACGCACTAGACGACGTCGTTCGTTCGCTCGTTCACACTTTAAAACTTAGGTTAATCACTAATAGCAGAATGGGTGGTCCTTAGCTCTACAAGTGGTTAGATCCACTCGGGCCGCTGCTATGAGCGGATGCTCCCCAGCAGCGGCGTGCTCTCGGCAGCCTTTGAGGTAATCACGGTATGGCGGGATCCGGAGCCGGAACCGGATCCAGCTGCAGACGACGGAGCAGCCGACGGTGGCCTTGGTGGCCAGTGGCTCGGTCCCGGACGCTCATCCTCCGCCTCGTCGATCCGGGACTGACGCGCCTGCCGCCTCTGCTGGCTCAGTTCGTGCAGATAGAGGGCGCTCAGGCACATGTCGGCCACGCCCACGTTCAGGGGACTGCGGCCCACGCGCGGCTCCAGTCCGCAGAGTCCGTAGAGCAGGGTGTCCGACGGACCCTCCAGACGGCCCTCGGCCCGGCTGAGACGCAGTCGGCGCATGCTGTCCAGCGGGCCCACGCTGGCGGACAGATTCTGCTGCAGCATCTGGCGGAAGTCGCTGGCCGCGACGGGGAATCCTCCGGAGCCTGGTCCCTGTTGCGGACGCAGCGATTGCGAGATCTCCAGCTGCTGGGGCGTCAGCTGGGCCGTCAGCACCGAGTTCGCTATGGAGCAGTACTCCGCGCCCATGGTGCCGAACGAGATGAGGCTGTTGGTCAGCGGATTCTCCTGAACCAGCGAGGTCTTGGCTTGCACCAGCTCGCCCACGGCGTGCTCGCGGACGCCGCGCAGGAACTGCCTGGCCTCCTTGGGCATCTGCCACTCGGGATTGTTGAGGGTGAAGCGCACCAGCGACATCTCCGTCTTGCCGCCGGCCAAGCTTTTCTGCTGCTGCGGCTCCTGCTGTTGCGGCGGCTGCTGCTGTTGAGCCGCCGGCCGGGTCATCTCCTCCAGTTCGCTGGCCAGCTGCCAGTCGGGATTGCCGTGCTTGCGCACATCCATCTGGGCGAAGGAGCAGACATTGCCCACGCCCCGCACGGACACCGTGAAGGTCCTGAAGAAGCGCACCAGCTCAATGGCCTTTGGCCGGAACACAAAGATCAGCACGAAGGGCGTGACGAACGGACTGAAGATCTCGCTGAGCAGGTAACCAGCCTTGAACTGGAAGAAGTTGCTGAACTCCTGGCGAACGCGCGTCGTGTGCGCCTGCTGTCGCCACTCGGAGGGCAGGTAGTGGACGTGCGCCAGAATGGCGGTCATCAGTTGCTCCGGGCACCATATGAGGTTCTCGTCGGGAATGAGCGTTCTGGAGACCACACCCACGGCCGTGAGCACTGCGATGATGGTTAGCACATGCTCCACCTGGAAGACATGCTCCTCGTAGATACCCAGTCCCAGGATGAGCAGCAGCAGGCCTCCACTGATAAACAGCAGATTCCGGGCTATCACAGCGGCCAGTGGCGAGGAGAACGAGCTGAGGTATCGGTCCGCATAGTCATAGGCCCGATTCAGCCTGGCGTCCAGTTCGTGGTCCAGCTCGTTGAAGTGGCGCAGATAGAGGCGTCCGTAGTTTGACCAGGTGCGCAGTCCCAAAGCACTTGGCTCCTTGCGCAGGATGTTTGCATAGGAGAAACTGAAGTAGATCAGCTGCCACACGAAGATCAAGGGGGCCAGGAGCAGATTGAGCAGAGCCACGCCCAGGATCAGCTTGGAAAGGCGCTGGGCCAGCTCCGTTTGATTGCTCCTCACCGCAAACTCATCGCGCAGCTGCCAGTTGTTCTGGAAGGGTGATCCCGGGCCGCGGAACAGGATGAAGTCAATGTTGAACAACATGCCGCGACTGAGCGAGACCACTTCCCCGTACAGCGGTATGTGGAATCGCACGGGCAGCAGCTGCTTGTTCATCAGCGCCACTAGGTAGTTCTTGAAGCGCAGCACCCGGTGGTAGATGTCCAGTTCAGTGAGCGACTCCTTGTCGATGCACATGTGCTGCTCGGCCTGGACGCGCCGGATGCGCTGCTGCACCTCGTGCCACGTGAAGTTGTCCAGGTCCGTGTCCTCGATGTGAAGAGCGGTCTGGTAGAATCTCCGGATATCGGCGTACTGCGTGATGTGGTAGACCATTTTCAGCACCCGGATGCCCAGGTAGATGGCGGCAATGAACACAACCAGGTAGGTGATCCAGCCAAAGCTGGCCACGCACTCCCCCGTGGGGATGATCACATCGGATATAGTAGTCTTGGTGGGATTATCTCCCCCGGGCAGGGCATCGCCAAAGAGAACGTCGAAGCGGACGCAGTGCGTCACGAAGGCCAGCAGCCAGACGACGAAGCCAAACTCCAACACCTGCAGCATCTCGTCCAGCACGATCACCCGGAATCCGTGCTTCTGCTGGTACTGATACATCCGCGAGAAGAACGAGTCCAGGTCCTCGATGTGGTTCCATCGCGCACGCCCCGTCTCCGGAACCATGTGGATCATGACGCCACTGTTCCGGGGCGTGTCCTCGCCCTCGTGCTCCTCCAGCGCCTGCTCCATCCCGTGCTCGCTGTGGGGGTCCAAATCTAAATGCGCAGCAGCTGCGTTCGCTTTTGCGTCTTGTGTTTTTGCTGGGCCTTGGCCTGCGGAGGGAAGCTGCTCCAGGAACGGACTGGCCGCCTCCTCGGCCAGGGAGCGGTAGTTGATATGGGGGCTAGACATCGCCCAACGTCAAGGTCAACCGTGCTGCCTATTTATATCGTTGTATAGTATAAGTTGGAAAATTCTTTGTTGTTTGATTCTGCTGAACCTTCCCAGCGAACAGCTGATTCTGAGCAGGGTAGTGTTGGCCAACGGCGAAATACTGGGTAAATAATGTGTAGGCGGGCTGACGCAGTACCTGCAGGAACGCGTTCACACTGTCATTCCAGTTGCAGAAAAATAAATATAATAATAACAATTATAAGTATGTCGGTCATTTAATTTTGAGCCCCAAATAAAGGCTAGTATTTGTAGTAGTTTATTTATAAGTAGTAGCCTTAATTTCTGTTGTTTTCTTGATATTTAAGTATTTAAAGCAAGCGATCCAAGAGACATTTTTGTAAATCCAATAAATCTAGTCACTAACACCTACACACTTTGGTGTGGTTCAATATAAAAAACAATTTTTTTTTTAATAATCAATTTAAAATTTGTGCTTTTAATGGTTCGATACTTATATTGCGAATTTCATTATTATTTTTAAACATATCTGTTCAATTAGTGAACTAAAAAGTCGCTAATGTCATTTTCAAACTGCTGTAAGATATGCGCGCAGTCTGAACCGACTAAAACTGCAATCAATGATAGACTTGGGAAGAGTTGGCAGTTCTGTCTCGCATTTGTAAACAAATTTCTCGAGCTCCTTAATAAACTTTACAATTTTTAATCAAAAACAGACAAGATGGGTAAAAGACAACATCAAAAGGATAAAATGTGAGTGCCTTAAAGAGCCACAAGCATATGAGACTGAAAATGAATTACTTTCTACAGGTACCTCACGTACACGGAATGGAGTGAGTTGTACGGCGGGAAAAAGGTGGAATCCGCGGAGAACGACCATGTCAAGTTCAAGCGGCTTCCATTCGAGCACTGCTGCATCACTATGGCGCCCTTTGAGATGCCCTACTGCGACCTCCAGGGCAATGTCTTCGAGTACGAGGCCATCCTGAACTTCCTAAAGACCTTCAAGGTGAATCCCATCAACGGGCAGAAGATGGACTCCAAGTCCCTGATCAAGCTGCACTTCCACAGGAATGCCAACGATGAGTACCATTGCCCCGCCTTGTTCAAGCCCTTCAGCAAGAACTCGCATATCGTGGCGGTGGCCACCACGGGAAATGTCTACTGTTGGGAGGCCATCGACCAGCTGAACATTAAGACCAAAAACTGGAAGGATCTGGTTGATGATACGCCCTTTCAGCGCAAGGACATCATCACCATACAAGATCCTCAAAGGATTGAAAAGTACGACATATCCACCTTCCATCACATCAAAAAGAACCTGCGAGTTCTCACGGAGGAGGAGCAGCTGGAGCGGAAGAATCCCGGCAGCATGCGCATCAAGACTATGAACCTAGAGACCAAGGAGACGCTGGCACAGCTGCAGCAGGACTATCAGCCGGCGGAGGAGGAGCCCTCCACCTCCAAGCGCACAGCCGATAAGTTTAATGCCGCCCACTATTCAACTGGAGCGGTGGCCGCCAGTTTTACATCCACCGCCATGGTGCCCGTGTCCCAAATAGAGGCGGCAATTATAGATGACGATCTGGTAAAGTACGAGCGGGTTAAAAAGAAGGGCTACGTTCGTTTAAATACCAATCATGGCCCCCTCAATCTGGAACTCTTCTGCGACCAAACTCCTCGAGCCTGCGACAACTTTATTAAGCACTGCGCCAATGGCTACTATAACAATGTTATGTTCCATCGATCCATTAGGAATTTTATTGTAATTTCGATCCCTTAGCCAAATGCATGATATTAAAATCGTTTATACTTTAGGTGCAAGGAGGCGATCCAACCGGCAGTGGTTCTGGTGGTGAATCCATTTGGGGCAAGAAGTTCGAGGACGAGTTTAAGCCAAATCTCACGCACACCGGCCGAGGTGTTCTCTCCATGGCCAATTCTGGACCCAACACCAATGGCTCTCAGTTGTGAGTTGACAAGTATTCATTTTCCCAAACATTGCTTATCTATTTTCTACTTTGCAGCTTTATAACCTACCGCTCCTGCAAACATCTCGATGGAAAGCACACCATTTTTGGCAAGCTCGTCGGCGGCTTGGACACGCTTCAGAAGATGGAGAACATCGAGGTGGACAACAAAGACAGACCCATTGAGGACATCATCATTGAGAGCTCTCAGGTCTTTGTGAATCCCTTTGCCGAGGCAACCGAACAGTTGGCCAAGGAGCGCGAGGAGGAGGCGGCCAGCAAGGAGGAGACTGTCAAGAAGGAGGAGCAGCAGAAGCGCTTGAAGGAGCCCTTGAAAGTGTATAGGGATGGTGTGGGCAAGTACCTGAAACTACAGGCAGTGGCCAAGAAGCCGGACTCGTCGCTTTCTGCCACCCAAGCAGCCAAGAAAAAAAAACTAGCAAATGGTTTTGGAAATTTCTCCAGCTGGTAGTCGTTGCCCTTGCAAAAATTAAAAAAGTTTAAGAGATTGTATGTTGGTATAAAAATATTGATATTGACTATTTATCAGTGGATTCGGTTCCTCCATCTGTGCGCTCTCTATCCTGCCAGCTTTTCTTCATCTCCTGCAGTTTGCCTTGCCTTCGCCGCCGCTCCGTTGACTTCCTCTGCTCTTGAGTCTTGATCTGCGCCGAAATCGAGTGCTCCCCATTCAAATGGACATCTAGTTTCTCCAGCAACAATTTTCGTGCCTCTACCCGGTTTTTGGATGCCAATCGATGAGTGTGACACTTGATGGTGATATTGGTGGGCAGGTGACGCAGGAACACGCAGTTCGAGGTCTTGTTCACGGCCTGGCCACCTGGTCCACTGCCGCGCATGAATGTCTCCTCGATTTCGGACTCCTGTAGCGTGGGAAAGCGTGAGTAGTCAAGATTAGCTGTGGATTTGCAGCGCACAGCAGGCGGAGGAAGGGCCAGATATCGCACCAGACCTCTCAGCATCCTTACAAAATGCGACCCTTCTTCAGCAGGGTCTCTCCGCGCTAAAGTATAAGAATAATTTATATTTTAAGAAGCTGTTATGAAATACGGCAGAGTTGTTTACCTTAAAACTAAACTCTACTTCTGCCGGATTTGTTAGGGATCGGTTGTCCCGGAACTCATGCCGTACTCTGCCCAGAAAGTAGTTCTTGTCGGTCAGCTTTAAATGATTGCCGTAACGAATTAAATGTTTGTACAAACGCAGAATTTGCTGCCGCGAAGGTTGAAACATTTTTGGATTTTGTTATTTTTTTGCTCACATGTGTGACGCAGTGTTGGAAAATGCGGAATGCGAAAGATAGGTTGGCAGTTCCGTCACAATCAGCTGTTGCAGCCCGCGATCAAAACAAAAACAATGCCGATAACGAAAACAATTCCAAAAAAGACGATTTGATAAGATTGAAAGTGTTTAGTGAAATATATACAATTCGCCCAATCACCATTACAAGTTTGTAGCTAAGACTACAGTCGATTTGCAGTCTTTCGCTTCGCACCCAATAATTATTGCAGGCTATTTAAAATGTCTGATTAGTTTTAATCTCTACAATTACGTTAGGGATATGATTACACTTTGGGCAACTTGCCCACATCAATGCCATCGTCAATGGAGACCCCAGTCAGTTGGCTCAGTTCTAGCATTTCCTGGATCTGGTGGGCTACCTCCTTGTCCACTACTTCCCCGCCCTGTTTCATTGTGCGTTCGATAAGCTCCTCATTGCTTGTTTTCCTGGCAAACATCTCCTCCGGCGACATGTCCAATGGCTCCACCAAAGTCATGAGGAAACTGCTAGATATGGACACACTGTACGGCAGGAAACGCACGTACTCCTTCAGAAGCTCCGCGCGACTAAAAAAAAAGGATTATGTTAGATCATAATTTTGATACATACATAATGTATGTATGTATATATGTACGTACATGCATGGGTGAAAAATATCAACTATCTTATCATTTCGAACGTGCCTGGTTTGATTAAAGCTGATAGTGTTTTTATCAAATAAATAATCAATTTCTTGGTATTAACAAAATATGCAATCATGCACATTTTTTTTTTTACCAAACATTATTATTTTGAATTTAAGTAATAATAATACATTCATTATAAGGAACAAAAATTAGCGGTTAAAAGTAAAGGTTTTTCAAATGGAATAGTTCAAATGTTCCTGTAATTTTAAGTGCATTATATTTTGTGATCGTATTTTTTGTTTTTGTTTTTTTATATTTAAAACTTTAATATAAGGTCTATAATTCAAAAGTATTTGAGGGTTCAAGAAGATAATATTTAAACTTAATTTTTAAAAACATAAAATTTTGTAATATTTAACTCAGGTTTAATATACCATTTTTAATATATTCTGGCTTTATACACAATTTTCAGACTCACCTCATGTCCTTTGGAACCTCCACCTTGGCGTGATTTCTATAACTGTCATATAGCGCCGTGCAGTATTTATCGAAGATGACATCAAAGTTGGGATAGCGCACGTCGGCGTAAATGGATACGGCCAGAAAGACAGCGAGATCGATCATGGGCGAGGAGACACGCAGGGTCTGGTAGTCGAACATCATGATCTCCTGCGGCACCTCCTTGTCGTTGTACCTGTAGGCCACGTTGTTCCTCACATAGTCGCCATGGCAGAGGGTGGCCAGTGGTTCCCTGGGCGCCACCCGTTGCCTGCCATATAGGTTGTAGTCCGTGATCAGGAAGCATAAGTTCTTCACAAACTCCTCGTCAATCTGGGGCTGAAAGGTGGCCACCGCCTTGGCCGCCCTTTTGATACTCGTCTTCATGGTTAGTTCCCACTCCGGATGAATCACATCGGAGGCGTAGCGCGATTCCTTTAGACCGTGGGTCAACTTGTCGAATAGCTCCGGATTCGTGTGCTTCATGGCATAGGCAAAGCCATGGAACTGGCCCAGGTAATCCACAGCAATCAGGGCATGTTCCAGACTTAGACCCACCCGATCCTTGGTCACGCGCCATCCCTGCTCCGCAAAATTCTCCAGAATGGCCACTGCCGAGTACGGATTCAACTCACTGTAATAATACTTGGGTGCGGCAAACTTTCCGCCAGCCAACTTCTGTATTTCGGGAAGAATTTCCGTGTAGAAGTTGATCTCGTTGCTGAAGAGAGCTCCAAACTGAATGGACTCGTAAACTTTTGGCGGCATCATAGGGGTTTTCTAAAAAACATGAATTTCAAACCAAGATAACGATAGATTGCTTGATTATCATATTGCCTAATTATCAATAAACTAAGAGGTTTGAGAAAAGATTAAACAAAAATTCCTATACCATTTCACAATGTTTGCCAAAGATGCATTAAATCGGTTCTCTTGATAGACTTATCAGTGTTTTCCGCTGAACAACAAAACTGGCATATGTACACATGTATCTTTATCCGTAAACGCAGTTACGGGGACTTATACTATGCACTCTTAATGGGGGTGTGCACTGAACACACTGCAAAAATTCGGTGACTGGGGTACTGTGATGAAATTACCCCATTTTTAGAATTCCAACACCCTGCCATTTAATTATTAATATTATTGTATGCGGTGATCAAATTGCATTACCTTAACGACCATTTTTCGTTGGAACTTTTCACCGTCGTATTCAAAGTTTATGGTAGTCCGGTAGCAGAAGGTGAGCATAAATGCCTCTGTAGGTCCGATCACATCGATCTCGACGTGTTCCACCCGGAAGGTGTTCGCCTTGGAGTCGCTGTAGTTGTCCACCAGTCGTCCGTTCTTCAGAATCTCTGGGAGAATCGTCGATCGCAGCCACTGAGTCTCCGTCTCGATCTTCGACATTGTGAATATATAGGTACTTAATAGTCGTACAATTCGAACCGCTTGACTTCCGGCAAACAACTGAAAACTTTGGGATACTTACAGTTCATTTTGTACTCTCGAAAAGCTCACGCTCAATCTGAGGCTACACCAAATCCGATCAATTAAGAGCGGCATCAGAAAGCTTTCCAATCAAAGAGCGTACAAATCTAAAAACAAAAAATATATATACAATCAATAATAAGCTTCCATGTTTTGCTTTTGAAATGGTTTTTCCAAGTTTATCTCTAAGCTTGCCAATGATTTGTTGTCAAAATTGTTTTGTTTTAAAGCAGATGCAAGTTCACCGTTGATGATGCCTCTTAATTGGTACTTACTGAACATGACCGGGTCCTTGACCAAAACCAACACCTATGTCCGAAAGTACACGGAAGGATCGGAGCGCAGTGGCGTGATCAGCACTACACCCAAAGCTCCGAAAAACAGAGGAGCTTCGTTCAAGATTACAGAATTGGACAGAATATCTGCTGCCTCCGTTTCATCGCGTAAGAGCAATCGCTCTGGTGGCGACACAAAAGTGGCCAAGAATTCGCCAACAATCGAAGCAGGACCTTTGAAAATTAAGTTAAAACCCAAAAAAGAGCCAGTCGTCCAGGATTCTCCACAAATGCGGCAGTTCTTCGACGAGGTGCGACAGCGGGAGCTCAAGGACTACTACCGTCAAATGAGGGCTGCTGAAAGGGATCCAAAGGAGACTTTGGAGTGTCCACATTGTGGTTTGCCAAAGCGTGGAAAAGGGGATCTCACTGCGAACATTTACTGCAGGGGAGATGAGAGCTTGAAGGGAAAAATGGTTGAGGATTGCGATGGGTTGAGGGACCTCACTTGGTTGTGGAACTCCTCCACGGCTTACTCCCACTTAGCACTGAGTTGTGAATGCGGTGGAGGTGGCTCCACTACCTAGTAATCTATTATAATTCTTTATTCAGGCATTATTATGTTATATAACCTATATGTTATACATAGATGAGATAAATACAAAAAATCACATGGGATGACCCCCTTAAGAAATTACATAAAGCAAGCTATGCCCTTGTTGCTTTCCCCCTTTGGCTTTGCTTTTCCCTTCCACTTCTAGTCTCAATTTGAAGTCCAAATCTTTCGTACCAAATCGAATCGAACCCCCGGGTATCCCATATCCCATGATGTTTTCCGACCCCGCCCAGGAGACAGTGGCGACACAGACGGAGCCGCAGGCGATTCCGCCGCCCGTCTGCACTCCGCTGCTGATGGTGGACGAGGATGGACGGAAGCGGTACTGCTACCACGGCGGCAAGTGCAAGTGCGCCACGTGTGCCAAAATCCGGGCGGAACAGGCGGTGCAACTGGACCGCGAGCTGTTCGCCTACATACCGCACTCCAAGCTGAAACTGGAAGTGCCCATGCGAATGGTGAAGCCGAAGCAGTACCGCCTGGAGGCCCGGCGAGCTGCTCCGGACATGGCCAAACGCCTGCAGGAAGACCACGAGAGGCTGAGGGCCGAGTACCCCATTTACTACCTTCCGGACAGGTACTTCAGCGACAAGTTCTACGAGTTGCCCGGACCGCAGCACAAGCAGACCCAGACGGACATCCCCATCGGACGCTTCGGCATCGAAGGCTGTCCCTGCCCCAATAAATCACTCTGCTACGATATGTAGTTGTAGTCCTGGGCAGGATTCGGGTTGGGCATGGAGGTATTAATAAAAACTGCCACGGGAAATCCAAATAATTGGCTTTTAATGTTTCATTGCGCTGGTCTTAATCTAATTAGAAGTAGCGTGTTGTCAGCTATGTGTTTATAAACTCGGTCAAATTTAATAAGCTACACTTATAAAAATAAAATTTTGAAATCTTCCCTTTTAATTCAGCCAGCATTTAAATCAAGCAAAAAAAAATTTATTTTCCAGAAAAATTGGAAATTGAATATAGAGATATAGAAATTCCTCCTTGATGTAAGCTTTCAAACAAACAACTTTCTTCAAAATACAAAAAGTATACCAATTTTGGTTTTTTTTTTGGTATGTTTGTTTTTAAAGGAAAAATATCCCTAAAAAATAGAAAAGCAGCTTTTTGGAACGGTTAAAGACGAATAAGAAGACCAATAACATTATCAATAATATAGATGGAAAATTTAGATATTCTTTTGCCAAATACAAAAATGTTGGCTTAGAAGATTTTTAACAAGAAATTTAATAATACATTTTTGGAAAATATGAAACCATATTTTTACGTTAAATATTTTTATAATTTTATGATTATCCTTCTTTAAGATCAGCTTTAAACATATATTTTTAATTGAGTGGTAAGAGAAAATGTTTAAATAAATAAAATATTTAAAACAGAAAAAAACAACTTAAAAAAAAAACAAAACAAAGAAAAACAAAAGATCAAGTTGCAAGGCGACCCCTGTCATTTGTTTATTTACTAGTTAAAATTGCAGGACTCTCCCTCCGTTGAAATAAAAAAAAAAATGCTCCGTAGAGCCAGTTCCCGGATGTTGTCGAGGATCAGTGTCCGCCAATACGCCGATGCAGTCAACATCACGGGCAGTGTGCGAGCGGCGTACGCCAAGGGAATGGCGGCACGACCCCTCGACAAGCAGCTGCTGCCTAAGTCCATGTACGGCGGAATCAACTACGTGACCCTGCTCACGGGCAGCACAATCATCGGCCAGCAGGGAGCCAAGTTCGTGACGACGCTGCTGCAGAGCAGCCGGGTGCCCGTGGAGACGCAGATCATCGAGGCGGGACAGGACGATGAGTACTTCAACTCGGTGCTGCGGAATAGATCCGCCGTTCACGTCGACATCCAGGCGGATGGGCCGGCCAAGGAGAAGGCGCTCAAGATCAGTAACGATCTGGATTTGTATGTGTTCAAGACCCGGACGCGCAGCTTTCCCGGTTTCAACTGCCGCTTTCCGGGCGTGGATATCCAGATGATTGGCCAAAACAACATGGGCAACTACAGCGAGCTGGAGTATTCACCCGTAAAGGGTGTGGTGGAGGCCCTATCCGTCGTTACCCAGAAGGGCAATGAGAAGTACCTGAAGCACGCCTTCGCTGCGGCGGCCAAGGCGGGCCGGAAACGGGTGACCCTGATCAACAAGGCCAAGGAGTGGCCCATTAGCGATGGCTCCCTGGTGAAGGCCGCCATGGAGATGCACTGCGACTATAAACACTGCCTGGAGCTGGAGCTCATGGAGGTGGAGGAGGCCGTCAGCCGGCTGATCACCGACCCCACCTACTTCGACTGCCTCTTCGCCAGCGATCGCTATGCCACCTTTCTGTCCACGATCTGCAGTGGTGTCTGTGGCGGAGCCAATCTCTTCAGTGCCGTGGAGATCGGCGATCACCATGCCGTGTTCAAGCCCCTGCAGACAAAGCTCTCGCTGACCAACTATGCCACCCTGAGTGCCTATGGGATCGTGGCCACCATTGTGGATCTCTTCCAGCACCTGGGTCACGACAAGTGCGCGGATGCTCTGTGGACCGAGATGCTGCGCACCATGGAAGAGGGTATCCGCACCCAGGAGTTCGGGGGCAAGGACAACGGCGAGTACGTTATCTGCAACATTGTCAACAAATTGCGATGCCGAAGTTTGGGTATGGCTTAAGCCAGGAAAAACCTGCGGTCAACCCTGCTATATCGAACATAATCATTCCTAGATTAATAATGAATTGATAATAAAGGCTAACTTTTCCTAAAATTAAAACGAAAATGTTTAACCAACACTACCAACATTAACTTTACTAAATCGGTGACCAAAACAAATCATTATACAATTTTAAACGTTTGACGTGCGGAAGCCATCAGGAGTTTCGTCGCTTCAGGTTATACTTGAGCTGGGGATCAAAAGTTCGGTTATTAACCTGCTAAGCACCACAAATATTTCCGAAACATTTCAAAATTTACCAGTTAACTACTCAAAAAAAAAAAAGTGAAAAGGAAGAAGGAATCTTTTTAAAAAATTTAGTTTAATTAATTAAAAAAAAGTAATTTTTGTAAAAGTTTTTTAAGGCCTAAATACATCGGAAATAGTTGTTTTTGGATAGTCTAAAACTAGGCTTTAAAGCCCGTAATCGCACCTGCTCCTCCTCCGTGCGCAGCTTACTCTCGCTCATCCTCATCTTCCAGTTGTCCGTGTAGGTCACCAGCTCCACCATCGTCTTGAAGGAAACATTTTTCTGTGGCTTCTTGAACAACTTGCCCTTTGCTTTTTTACTAGGATACATCATGTAATCGTATACGATGGCCTGATCGTCCACTTCATTGATAATATCCTTCTCCGATTCGGCTGATTTGGTTAGATCTTCTGCCATCTCAGGAAGTTTCTTTGGTTTCTGGCGTAGTTTTGTTAGGCTGTCCATGATCCGGGGGCAATTTAGTGTGATTTTGTCATAGAGCTATCAAAAATGTATCAAAACTTCAATTGAGTGTTGTTGAAAAGTCAGATTCCAAGTGCCTGCTGCGCGTGTGTAATAAACGTTATGTCCTCCCATTTGCACGTACAATTTGAATAAATTTATGCTCCCAGCCGGCGGCTGTAAACAACTACATAAATACCGGAGTAGAACCTATTCTGGGTGGTGAGGTATTCGGTGGGTGGTGGCAATAAAACGTCTGGCCAGAAGTGAAGCATATTTGCAGGCGCCAAAAACAAAAGCCACAACACAATTGCCCAGCATGTAGGGCCGTGTAAACCCCAGTCGATACTTTATCATCATGCAAATGGCCACCGTGCCTCCTTCGTAATCCCTCCCCCGGCTAATAAGTACGATAAACGACTCCGCAACACAAACAAAACAGCGAAAGGGAGCTGAAGGATAAACAAAGACAAAAATTCTGGGAGCCGTGGAGTAAATCCTTGCCGTGGGCCATCTTGAGTTATGGCTCAATTCCCGGTTAACAAGAAGGAAAGACAATTGTTTTACACACATAGCGGTTGTAATTTATTCGCCACTAGAAAAGTTTTCTTTAATAAATTTTAGTTGAACCAAAACACACACCCACACACCCACACACCCATACACACATCCTTTTTAGCAGCTCTCGTAGTGTCCTGGTCATTGCTCCAGTTCGTTGGTGGGTCCATGGGTAAGCTTAGCCTTCAGGGATCCGCAGACCATCATGCAGGTGAACAGGGACAGCTCCAGGACGCGGCACATGCAGTAGGCCACCACATCCAGCAGGTGCTCCACGACTCCCAAGTACAGACACATGCGTGGGTGAGTGATGGGTGATTGGGTGGCTTTTATAGCGGCTACTGAATGCAGTTATTCCCTTGCTCAGTTGACTCCTCTCTGTTTTTCACTGCAATAATGTCCTGATAAGCTTAGTCCTTTGTATCGAATCTGCTGATAAATTGCACACTGTTTTTATCCCACGAACTCTTTTCCTTAAATGATAACACTCCGCTGGCTGGCCTACCGTTATATTCAATCCTGTTGCTGTATCAAAACACGAAGTTCCTCTTCGTCCTCGTCTCGAATTTCTCTACAGAAACAAAACGAGAGCAAAACAAGTGCCGAAACTCTCTCTGAGGGAGAGAGAGGGAGAGAGTGGGAGTGCAAGGAGGAGAGCGGGAGAATGGGGAAGTGGGACAAGGATAACAAGGAGATTCAGGGGATTCCTGCCACTGGCGGTGCATGCGCAAACTGGTTCACTTCGACTACGCTGCAATGCCAAAACAAGGAGGGAAATTAATGGATACTGATAACAGACAATACCCAATTTAGGGATTTTCGGGACCTGAATTTTTGGGAACAATACTTTGGAAGTTGGTATCTGAAAAATTAATAAATCTATCAAGTAATTTTAAAAATTAAATTTAATTTAAGACAGAAACAAGTACATTAAAGTTAAACACATAGTTTCGAAGCATTGCCAAAAAAAAAACTTAAGTTTATTTTATAGTTTTCTATTCAAAATTTGGATAACTAAAGGCATAACACATTGCTTAGGGTTTTAACTAAAAAGTTATTTGAAGGTCCTGCTTTAACATTTATTATTTTATTTTTTTTTAAATTTAAATTAGACTATGTTAATTAGAATTAGCCTTCAGCTATAGCTTCAAGGCCTTGTAAAATTAATTATTTTATTGATGAGTGAATTTCGATGGGTAACAAAGTATCCCTTAAAATCTATAGTCACCAAACACAAGGTAATTATCATTCCATGATATATATTTCATAGCCATTTAATAGTGGGATACTTGCTCTGTCAGTTAATAGTTTGATTCGACAACTGACTAGACGGCAAATGTCGTGTTTTCACCAAGGACACTACCTTCGCAGGACCAAACACAACCACTGGGTTGGCCGCCTCGACCATATGGTGGTTCCTAAGCAGAGTTGGGTCGGTGCAGCATATGGTCACTAGACGCGAGCCAGAATGCAGCTCGCCAGCGGGTTAATTGATGGCCCTGCCATTCAGTACGGTAGCTCATCCTCGCCACCTCTCCCTCTCTTTGACTCTCCCGCTTCCACTCGTGTGTGCCGTTGAGCGTGAAAGTCACAAATTACGGGGAACAGAGCAGAGGAGAAGATCACATGGTATGATAGCACCAATTTGGCAAGATATGACGCGTGCCCTGTGAGAGAGAGATGACAGTACTTGGAAGTGTAGGTGGGCAAGCGAAAAGTAGAAAGAGAGAGACAGAGACAGAGAGAGAGAGAGGTGAGGCAGAGGCACACTTCTAACCCCTAAGTGTGCGGCCGGGGGTCAAAGTCACCCCTGCTCCTCGGGGAGATCCTTTCGGCCGGGTAATATGGTAATAACTGCGAGGATCCTGGGGCCAGGGGTCATTTGCGGGCCGTTTACACAAACTTGGTCAGCACGGCGGTGAAAATATTTGTAGAACGCATCTCGCGGGGGTTGACTGTAGTGCAGCGACTCGGGATCGTTTCAGTTGCATCGAAACTTTCAGGCTGCGCGGATCTGCCATGAGCTATTACTATTCGTCTGCCTCCGAGGAGGACGGCAGCTCCCAGTATTTGGGCAGTCCCAACTATAACCTCACACCGCAGACCGCAGTTTCCTCGCAGGATTATGGACAGTCGGCTTTTCTGTCGCCGGAATGGCAGTTCCTGGATGCCGCAGGCGGGGCACAAACTGAGCTGGCGACCATCCTGGAGATCCCATCCCATACCAGTGAACAGCAGACCAAGCGGCGTAGCACCAGCTCCACAGGATCCGATGGAAGGAAGAGCTATTCAGGCAGTGAGCTGACCAACCTCAGTCCCACTGTCAAAAAGCGGAGACGACAGGCGGCCAATGCCCGGGAAAGAAAGCGGATGAATGGCCTGAACGAGGCCTTCGATCGTCTGAGGGAAGTGGTGCCTGCGCCCTCCATCGACCAAAAGCTGTCCAAGTTCGAGACCCTCCAGATGGCCCAGTCCTATATCCTGGCCCTGTGCGACCTCCTCAACAACGGTGATGTGGAGGTGGATGCGGCCACCTACACCATCTTCGGCGGCAGCGAAAGCAGCTTCGGGTTGAGCGGAGGATCCTTATCATAGATGAATACCTAAAATCATTCTCTATTAGATTTAAGCTTTGTGATTTTTTCTTACTGTTGAATAGGCTAAAGGTATAAATGAAATAAATGGAATATGAATTAAACTGAATTGAATTAATTTATTGAGGTTGCAAACTTTATTTTTTTGTTTGTTTATTTTGACCATTAACCTTTCTTTGGTACTTTAAAAGAGTCAAATTGTTCTACTTTAAATAATGATTTGCTTGCTTTTTACATAATATTAACAACTCACGCAGTTAAACTTAAGAATAAAACTAAAATCTGGCTAAACATTTGTTAAAGTGGGTTTTGTGATGCTTTTTACCTGTAAATAGTTTTTTGTAAGCCGGCTCGAGGTCATGTGATGTGATGGTGAAAATAAAAAATAAAATTCTAATATATCCTCTCCAAATTTAAAAATATAAAAATAAAGTTTATCGTTGCAAATTTTATCGTTTATCGTTGCAAATTTTCAGATAACACTTCCTTTTTTTTTTTTTTTAATTTTAGCACCCCACTACTAAAGCCCTCATTTTCAAGCACCCTAGATTCAATTGGCCATCGGATTGTTGGCTACGCCTCAATGGCTCCGAAAACGATCATAAATTGATTGGTGAAAAAGTTCATTGATAGGAGAATGTCAAGTTTTGGTCTAACCCCGAAACGATCCCGAAACGATCTCGAAACTCTACCGCCACCCAAGTAAGCGGCGAAGCGTAACGCCCCTTGATTCCTCGACCAGAACTCCTCTCATTGAATAAAAGGCAGCTGAGTCCTGCGGCTTCGGTTGGGTGCTGTTCTTTATATGATTCGAGGATGGCCAGGATGGCCGAAAAAGTGTGCGTAAGGACATAACAACTACAGATTGATCACCGAGGAACTTTTTGCTTGGGCTTTATAGGCGGCTTGGGTGGTTTTGGATTCACACCGGGATCCTCACTATGGACCGTGATGTGCTGTACCTCAACTTCGTCCTTGCCGAAGGAGTTCTTCGAGGGCCGAAAGCCGGGGTCCGGTGGATGCAGGACTATCACCTCTCGCTGGTTTTCGCCGAAGGTCAAATTACGGAAGGGATTGTTGGTGAGCAGAAGGGTTCGGTTCTCGTCCAGGATGGGGGCGTTGGCTTTGTGGGATGGCCGAAGAACGGGTCGCCTTGGCCTGGCTAGTAGTGTGCGTCGCATCTTTCGCAAAGGAGGCACCCCCGGATTCGGCGCCATAATTGTCCTGTTGAGATGGTCCTTGATGATGCCCAGCGCGGTGTTGGCCAGGAGGGGCGGAACCGCGAAGGAACCCAGAACGGAGAGACCCTCCTCGCTGGGCGGGAACTGCTGAGATCGCTGCGATTGGCTCGCGAACGACGGATTGGTCCAGGACACGCTCTGAAAGCCGGAGCACTGCCGCTGGCAGTGCAGCTGCTTGCCAGACGCCTGTCCTGAGCCCATCCGCTGGCCATCGGGTCGTCCAATTGGCTTCTTCGGCACCACAAGGAGGTACTTATGGTTGTTACCTTCGTCCTGTAATTTGCAAATAAAATATGCGGCCGATTTTAGGTCAAAGGGCAACTTGCTGTTGGCAGCTGCATTGGTGTCCATAGTTGGTTTCTTAGCACTGGATGGTCCTCCAGTTTTCGCAGTGGCGGGTCCTTTCTTGATCGGTTCTCCTGGCTGAGTCCTTGGAGTCCCCAAGTGGCGAATGGGGCTGGCGGATCTTAACTGCACCTTGGTTGATTTTACGGTCTTTGGGGAGGGATTATTTTTAACAGAAGACGGCTGAGAATCATTAGTAGATACTTCCTTCGGTTCCACCTTGATTTTATTTGACTTTACATTAGCTTGGACTGGCGGTTTCTTGACTTTTCCAATTGATTCTTTCTTTTGGTCCTGGCATTCCATTAGAGCGTTAAGTACCTTACATATACTACCAGCTTGCTTTCGTTGATTTGACACAACTATGTTGGCTTCATTTGGACCACTGGGAGGACCGCAAATACAATCCTCATCAGAGTATATGTTGTCATTGGAATTACTATCCTTGAATTTTGAGTATTTTCCTTCATCAGGATCCCCAACATCGTTGCTATTGCCTTTATCATCTGTTCCAGGAGCATTCGAAATCTGTTTCTCGTTTTTACTCCTTTTTGGTAAAGTAGTTTCGGGCGATCTATTTTCATTTCTATTTTTGTATTGTTCATATCTTTTGCCTTCGGAGTTGTCATTTTCAGTGGTTCTTTTTTGAATCTCCTCTTTGTTTTTATACAAAGTCTGTGGATCATTTTGCGTTTTCCTATTTTGCGCAGAATCTTTATACCTATTGTCTGTTTCTGGAAATACATATTCACTGCAGAAGCATTCATTTTCTGAGTTCAATATATCTGGTCCCCTCGAAAAAGATGGTTTCTTTTTCAGAGCCAAATTTTCTTTATTTCGGTTGCGATTGTTATTTTGATTATCCGAATTTATATACGCCTGATCCTCTCTTTCGGAGAAGTAGTTATCATAGCCCTTACCCCTTTTGTCGCTTCTATAAGCTTGTGCTCTATCATATCCATTTGATTCCTTATAAGTTCGGTTTCGGTTCTCCCTCAAAGGATATTCATTATAGGCATTTCTGGCCATATATCCATCGGAATCAGTGTTATCGCACCTGCACTCCATTGCTGTTCTTCCAGTACTTCTGTATTTATTTTCATTGCGGTAATCCTTCGGAGTTCTTTCATTATTTTTATTTGGTACATTCTTTTCCTCCCTTCTCGAATATTTTCTGCTCATTTCGGCGGGTCGACCATCTTCAGGGCTAATATCATAGTCGTGGTTAGCATTTCTATATCCTTTTGCTTGATATTCATTATCATCCGAATCACATTCACAATCATCACAGCCCTCGGGAGCTTCATTTCTTGCATTCCCAAAAGTTTCAAACTCATTCTTGGATATTTCGGGATCTTTAGTTTTGTTCGTTGGCTCAGTCCTATACCTATTTCTTGGTATCATTTCTCCTTCACCACGTTCTTGGGGAGATTTTCTCGGCCTTTCTTTATGGGCGCCTGCAAAAGCAGCATATGGGCACGTGTCATCATTGCACTCGTAGTCTTTTCTTCTGGAGCTTTTATGTTTACCACTTTCAAGTTTTGAGTTTCTAATTTCCTGAATATTTCTTTCTTGACGTACGGTACGATCTTTATCTTGTCTTAATGTATAGCCCCGAAACGGACAGGTTTCGTCATTGCAGTTTGCTTGGTTTCGCCTTTTTGAGTTACTAGGTTCTTCTTCTGATTTTTTCTTCGGTTTTACAATATTTTCCCTGCTTTGACCTTTGGATCTTGTCTTGGGACTTAGCTTTGGTTCGTTAAAGCTACCATTATCTGGAGGATTTCTATCTTGACCTTGTGATTTACTTTTGGAACTTGGTTTTACCTCCTCCTCGTAGCCGCGATTCCTTGTAGACGGTCTTGTTCTCATCGCATTTATGTCTTCCCTGGGATTAAGGCGATCGTATGCCGAAGACTCTATTTTTTGGGAGTCGTCGGTTTGAAGCTGGTATACTTTTGAATGGTTTGGTTTCTCGGTACGATCTCTCCTCGGCCTAGGAGGGCTGTAATCTTCATAGTTGGAATTGGGGTAACTAACCACCATATCATCATTGCGAGGTCTCCTTTGGCTTGGGCGTTCTTCATTTGGATAGTGCCTGTTAGCTGGACACCTTACATCGTCACATCGTTTAGACCTCTGAGGTGAACCATCTCGAATCTTTTGGGGAGGATTCTCATCATTATACTCGCGTCTTCTCCCTCGAGCAGGATATTCTCCATATTTGTTAAACGATTCCTCTTCATCTATTACTTTACGCTGTCGTTTTTGCAGATCATTTCGCATTTGTTTTCGATGTGCCTGCTCATCGTAAATTGGGTTATCCAGACTGGCAAGAGAGTTTTCTTCAGGATTAGCAGCTCTGTCTTGGGTTTGGTAGTTCCCTCTGTTCGATCGTTCCCTTTGATCGTTGAATCGTGTTTCTCTTTTAAAGGCAGGACACTCTACAAACTCATAGTTCTCTCTCTCTGGTTGACCTTTTGCGTGTACATTTGGTGGATAAGTTGATGCCCCATTGCCTGGTGCCTTATTTTCCATTTCCAGGGGCCAAGACTTTGATAGTGGTGCCATGGGCATCTGTGCAGGACTTGGAGCAGAAAACGTGGACTGATCCGGAACCCACACGTTTGGGTCCTCTGCATTGATGCAGTAAACGATAGGTTGATTCGGGTATGCACCCCGTCCGTACTCATTTTCCATTTCTTCATAAGCTTGATTTGGTGGAGGATAAGTTTGACCAAAGTTTGTGGCATTCTGATCAAACTGTTGAGGTGGGTAGTAGTTTACTTGGGCTGGAGCCAAAGATCGATTGCAGTACATGCACTGGCATCCATAGATATCGCAGCGTTGTGGATTTGGATTTGATTGGTAATAAGAGCAATAACATTGATTTTGAACTGGCTGGTTGCTATTGTGGTTACCCTGATCGGAAATCGGTTCGTTGTTGCTGTTTCGGGCTAAATCGTTCTGCTGACCGTTTTTCTTTAATAGCAGTACATTTAACTGATCCTCTCCTGACTGCCGGCGATCGTTCTGTTTGCAGCTGCATTTTTGGTCCTGATCGGAGTCTCCTTCTTCGGAGTAACTGCCACGTGGATTTTCCTCTATCGCCAACCGATACTGAAGTCTCCTGCAGATGGCATCGTTATTACGTTTCCACCTTCCGCTGCCGGACTTTCGACCGTCAGGTACCTCTTTTTGACCCCTGGGCACATATTTCTGGCGCTGTTGACCGTAAAGCCTGGGACCTGGCCAATTATCGTTTGGTACTACATTATTGGTGGACTCTTCACCATGCCAGTTACCCATATCCACAAACACGCCATTTTGTTGGGTTCTTGGAGAACTTTTTTGCCTGTTCGTAAAGGAGCTTGGATACTCATCCTGAGCGTGTTTCAAATTCGCGCTTCGCTTTTGTCTGCTTTGGGATTCGGATTGAGATTCCGGTATTCCGTTTCGATTTTGAATGAGTGTTTCTGAACAACCTTGAGTCTCATCCTGACTAATTGTCACCGGATTTTGGCCCCCTTCCAAGGAACTCCTACTTCCGGAAGGTGCAATCTGAGTTTGACCTCTTCCATCGTAAGTTGTGCATTGGCTGTGCCCATCCTCAACTTCATCTTGGTTGCACTGGACACAATAGGTTGTGGGATACCAACGATCATTGCCGGAGGTGGCTCTTTCTTTGTAACTCCTAATGTGTTGTTCTTGATCCGGCTCTGGTTCTAATATCATATTGTAAATAGTGTAACCGCTGGAGCAAGGAGTTAAGTAAGCTATAAGAGAAATTTGTATAAAATATAGTTATATTTTCTGCCTGGCAAACCCACCTCCACGGTCGCAGAATGTGGCCTCCGAAAAGGCAGGGTGATAATTGGCTTTAATGGAGCTACAATCGTCCATAATTAAGACATCCTCCAAAAGGCAATTGAGTTGACTGAAACTGGCCTGGCACTACGAGTTAGGGAGATTCCTGGTAAACTTTTAGGTATATATTTTATTTGACCACTTACCTCTTTCGATTCCTCGAAATCCAGGTTACCCAAGAACTGAAGGTCCTCAAAATAAGAGTGTCTGGGAGCGTAACTAAACCCCTTACGCTGGCTGAGCCGGATGGCGGCGCACTCTTTGGAGTAGTAATTTCGGAGGCTGAGCACCTGAAGTTTCACTTGGTCAGGAGTTAGGCCGCATTTCATCTGCCTCGTTATCCATCGCCAAGCGTCCTCTTTTACAGAGCCACTATGGAATCCTGGAGATTTGGGATTCCACAGGCATTCGTTGGATCGATATAGACGAATAAGCTTTTGGGTCCTTTCTAAGCGCTCCATATTCGAATGCGAGGTGATATCCTTGGGTGTCATTATGCCTCTTTGTCCCTCGCAGTCCTTCTAGGTGATCAATCTAACATAGCGTTGTCCCTGTCTGGCTGCTATTGGTAAAATGGCAGGAATATCAACTTGGAACTATTTTTTTGTCGGCCCTAAGCCGAAGCAATTTTGACGTACAACTCGAAACTTAACTTAACTTAAAGGTTATTTGATGTTAAATCGTATATGTAGCCTCGATATATATTTTAAAACTCCATTTAATTGGTTTCAATAAAATCCTAGTAATAACCCTTTTACTTTAAAGAATTCTTGTGTAATTTATTAACAGTTCCTAATTTTCCGTTACAGTTGGCAACGATAACAGGGTAACCTATCAGTCTACTACAGCCAATAACGGTATATTTAGTATTTTCGGGAAAATGAACTTGTTAGGTTTTCCACCACCTCGCGCGGTATTAAGCGTGGCATCCAGAACGGTCACACTGGCCAACGCGAAAATAGGCAAATAAAGTCAAGTTTTGTGTGCCACAAATTCCGACCCACTGGCGTATGAGAGTGCATTTAACGGCCGCACTTAAGCATTCCGGGACAGTGCAAAATCCGTACGAGGCACCCAGGACCGAATTCGCGATCTCTCGCGATCGAAATCGACCCCTCTGTCTGGTATAACCACAAAATTTTCACTGCATCTATTCGAGCCGCCCCAACCCAATTTTCGCGAGTGCGACGGAGTCGGAAAAGCAGCGGTGGAACGGAAAGGAAAAAGACGGTCATACGGAATCAGTAAATCGCGCGGGCAGTACCAGTACCAGATAGTGCTGTAGTGATTCGCGGACTCGCATCCACGTAAACAGCTGCATGCGCAGAGGTCGCGCCCAGAGCTCCAGTGCAAATCTTAGCCAGAAAGAGCCAACTCCGTCGTGAAAATGTCCGCGGAACGCGAGATTCCCGCCGAGGACAGCATCAAGGTGGTCTGCCGCTTCCGACCGCTGAACGACAGCGAGGAAAAAGCCGGCTCCAAGTTCGTGGTCAAGTTCCCCAACAATGTGGAGGAGAACTGCATATCCATAGCGGTATGTTGTCTGGTTCCAGATCGGTTTTACAAGTCACCAATCCGCTCGGGATTCCCTTTATTCCCCCGATTTCCCTATGTGTTATGCATTAATCTCTGCGTGCCGTGCCATGACGTCATGCCTATTAGCGTACATTTACCCTTCCTTACCCAAAATTGCCGACCAATTGGAATGCCAGCCGAAAGAGAGAGGCACTAGAGTTACCCATGAATAATTGCACAAAGCAAAACAAAAATACATACATATGTATGTTTCATCATAAGAAACTACTCCAAATCAATATTGCTTTGCATTAAATTGATTTTCCCCCCGCAAGGAATAGGGTGTGTAAGCGGCATACAGCAAGAGCAAGGGAGAGGGAAGACCACCCACTAGAAGGTTTTCTGCTTAAAGCGGGTGTTGTTGGGTGTTCCATTCTTTTGGGCCGCATAAATATGCGCTTTTCTAGAGTTTCCAGTCCGCCTCCAGTGCTTACCTCACTTACATTTCCACACACAAACACATAGACACACAGCGAGACCGCCTTCCACTCCCCCTCCCCCGCCGCCGCCACCGCCGACAGTGAGTCATGCACGCAAACCGTATAATAAAAAAGAACGAAAAACAATAAGAGCAACTTTGAAGGCAATGGAATTCGCTTGTATTGTTTTTATATTCGACATGAAATGTGATTAGTTTGTATGCTACGAGTTTTCCGCTGTTCGGCTTTTCCGCCAAGTGCTGACCAGGTGTAGTCCATCATTTTCCTGGTAAAAACTTGGGCAATTGAACCAGTTCCAAAAAGTCAGCACTACTAATATATGTATGAACCTCCATTACTCTCCATCTCGCCCTCTCCCTCTCTCTCTCTCTCTTTCTCTCGCTCTGTCTTTCTTCCGCCGCTCGTTATTCACTATTCTTCCCCCCACCCCCCTCAACTTACCATTTCTTAATGCTCATAATTACAATCTGCTTCGCGGCCATGCGTTGAAAATGATTTGAAAGCAGTCAGCGGGAAAGCGGGAAGGAGAAAGGGGGAAAGGGGGAAGAGGAATTGAATCTTCGAAAGAAATTTCACCGCAACTGTTGGAACAACTATAGATGTATATGTATATGTGTATGTGTGTATACTATACCAAAAACATAATCCCCTCCGTCCGCAGGGCAAGGTCTATCTGTTCGACAAGGTCTTCAAGCCGAATGCCTCGCAGGAGAAGGTGTACAATGAGGCGGCCAAGTCCATTGTCACGGACGTCCTGGCCGGATACAATGGAACGATATTCGCCTACGGCCAAACGTCCTCCGGCAAGACGCACACGATGGAGGGCGTGATCGGGGACTCCGTGAAACAGGGCATCATACCGCGCATCGTCAACGACATCTTCAACCACATCTACGCCATGGAGGTCAACTTGGAGTTCCACATCAAGGTCTCCTACTACGAGATCTACATGGACAAGATCCGGGATCTGTTGGACGTCTCCAAGGTGAACCTCAGCGTGCACGAGGACAAGAACCGGGTGCCGTACGTCAAGGGCGCCACGGAGCGATTCGTCTCCTCGCCGGAGGACGTCTTCGAGGTGATCGAGGAGGGAAAATCCAACCGTCACATCGCTGTGACCAGTGAGTCTCCACCCGCTAATGGGGTCCGAACAATGTCAGCCAAGAATCTATAGTTGAAATGCAAAACAAATTGATTAAGTGAGGAAAAAGATATAGCAGCTACAAAGTCTTTGGTTTGCCTTATCTATGATCGGGCGAAATATATGATACAAATTTCTTAACAAGATTGCTGTCTTAATTATTAACATTTTGTTCGAAAACCCATAGCCAACATTGACCTAAAAATTGCCCTAAAAAAATTATGTATATTTTAAAAACCTTATAAAATAACTGAGAGGACAGTGTTTTAGTGCCAGTGCTTAAATTTTACAAGTGTACAAACATGAGATCATTTGATATTTTAATTAGTCACTTTATTCAATTATCTGTTAGCGAGTTTACACTTTTTCTTTCGTAGATTTTTTAAATATTGTTGCATATTTACTAAAATTGTTTAAAATAATTATTTGTATCAGATTCTCTGCAGATTACTTCTTGAAAAAATTTAAGGATAAATTAAAATTTTACTTGGATTCCAGTTCATTGCTCTGATCCCAACTGCTTTGATTGTATGTTCTAGATCACAGTAACCATTGTTCCATCCTTTTCAGACATGAACGAGCACTCCTCACGATCGCACTCAGTATTCCTCATTAATGTGAAGCAGGAGAACTTGGAGAACCAGAAGAAGCTCTCCGGCAAGCTGTACCTGGTCGATTTGGCCGGTTCCGAGAAGGTTTCCAAGACAGGAGCCGAGGGCACGGTTCTCGATGAAGCCAAGAACATCAACAAGTCGCTGTCGGCCCTGGGCAATGTCATCTCCGCTTTGGCGGACGGCAACAAAACGCACATACCCTACCGCGACTCCAAGCTGACGCGCATCCTGCAGGAGTCGCTGGGAGGCAACGCACGCACAACCATCGTCATCTGCTGCTCCCCGGCCAGCTTCAACGAGTCGGAGACCAAGTCCACGCTGGACTTTGGCCGACGAGCCAAGACCGTGAAGAACGTGGTTTGCGTGAACGAGGAGCTCACTGCCGAGGAGTGGAAGCGGCGCTACGAGAAGGAGAAGGAGAAGAACGGCCGGCTCAAGGGCAAGGTGGAGAAGCTGGAGATCGAGCTGGCGCGTTGGAGAGCGGGCGAGACCGTCAAGGCGGAGGAGCAAATCAACATGGAGGATCTCATGGAGGCAAGCACGCCCAATCTGGAAGTGGAGGCGGCGCAGGCGGCAGCGGCGGAAGCCGCATTGGTTGCCCAGCGAACTGCCCTCGCCAACATGTCGGCTTCGGTGGCCGCTGGTGAGCAGGCCAGGTTGGCCACGGAGTGCGAGAGACTCTACCAGCAGCTGGACGACAAGGATGAGGAGATCAACCAGCAGAGCCAGTACGCTGAGCAGCTCAAGGAGCAGGTGATGGAGCAGGAGGAGCTGATCGCCAATGCTCGAAGGGAGTACGAGACGCTGCAGTCGGAGATGGCGCGAATCCAGCAGGAGAACGAGTCGGCCAAGGAAGAGGTCAAGGAGGTGCTCCAGGCTCTCGAGGAGCTGGCTGTTAACTACGACCAGAAGTCGCAGGAGATCGACAACAAGAACAAAGACATCGACGCCCTCAACGAGGAGTTGCAGCAGAAGCAGTCTGTGTTCAATGCCGCCTCCACGGAGCTGCAGCAGCTGAAGGACATGTCCTCGCACCAGAAAAAACGCATCACCGAAATGCTGACCAATCTGCTGCGCGACCTGGGCGAAGTGGGCCAGGCCATCGCCCCCGGCGATTCCGGCATTGACCTCAAGATGAGTGCTCTGGCTGGCACGGATGCCAGCAAGGTGGAGGAGGACCTCACCATGGCTCGGCTGTACATCAGCAAGATGAAGACGGAGGCGAAGAACATTGCCCAGCGTTGCGCCAACATGGAATCGCAGCAGTCGGACTCCAACAAGAAGATCTCCGAGTACGAGCGGGATCTGGGCGAGTATCGGTTGCTCATCTCGCAGCACGAGGCGCGTATGAAGTCGCTGCAGGAGTCGATGCGCGAGGCGGAGAACAAGAAGCGTACACTCGAGGAGCAAATCGATTCGCTGCGCGAGGAGTGCGCCAAACTGAAGGCCGCCGAGCATGTGTCCGCCGTGAACGCCGAGGAGAAACAGCGGGCGGAGGAGCTGCGCTCCATGTTCGACTCCCAGATGGACGAGCTGCGCGAGGCCCACACCCGCCAGGTGTCCGAGCTGCGGGACGAGATTGCCGCCAAACAGCATGAATTGGACGAAATGAAGGATGTCCATCAGAAACTGCTGTTGACTCACCAACAGATGTCGGTCGACTACGAGAGGGTGCGCCAGGAGGAGGCCGAGAAGTCCAACGAGCTGCAGAACATCATCCTCACCAACGACCGGCGCGAACAGGCTCGCAAGGACCTCAAGGGACTGGAGGATACGGTGACCAAGGAGTTACAGACGCTGCACAACCTGCGAAAGCTGTTTGTTCAGGACCTGCAGGTACATTTAAATTGGATTTCTATCTTTTCCTTTCTATACTTTAAGCCAATCAAACTCTTAACTCATTCGTTCACTTTGTTTTCTAACAGCAACGAATCCGGAAAAACGTGGTCAACGAGGAAAGCGAGGAGGATGGCGGATCCCTGGCGCAGAAGCAGAAGATCTCCTTCCTGGAGAACAACCTCGACCAGCTGACCAAGGTGCACAAGCAGTTGGTGCGGGACAACGCCGACCTGCGGTGCGAGCTGCCCAAGCTGGAGAAGCGCCTGCGCACGACCATGGAGCGGGTGAAGGCTCTGGAGACGGCGCTGAAGGAGGCAAAGGAGGGCGCCATGCGGGACCGAAAGCGCTACCAGTACGAGGTGGACCGCATCAAGGAGGCGGTGCGACAGAAGCATCTGGGCAGGCGCGGCCCACAGGCACAGATCGCCAAGCCGATCCGCGCCGGCCAGGGTGCGATCGCCATCCGTGGAGGTGGCGCCGTCGGCGGTGGAGCGCCGCTGGCCCCGGCTAATGCTGTACACTCGTAGATCCGATCACCACCACCCGTCGCCGCCCAGTTCAGCTCCGCTTTAAACTAAACTAAATCGATTACGTTATACATACTTAACATAACTGATAATTGCCTTCGCTTAGAGAGATGTCGTGTCGCGATCATGTGCAGCGCTTTAAATATACATACATACATATAATTTAATTAAATAAATGAGAGGAAACCGGAAATTAACTAAATTTTACAAACCGAAAATAATAAAACCCACAGATATGTAAGGACATCTATGTACGTTAAGAGTATTTATAAACTTTTCAAACATAAACCTAAATAAAAGTCGCAGACAAATTAAGGTCGCTTCGGTTTGATTCTATATTCGGTTCAAAAAAAAACTATTGAGGATCATTTGGCTAAAAGGTATGGCATTGCCTCCTGCTACAGTCGCATGTTGTAGCCAGTGCCGCATATGTTGTGGTGCTCCCACTCCTCGGAATCGCTGATCACCTGCCATTCGTACCACACTTTGGTCGCATCCACACAGCGCCAGAACTTGATGTTTATGGTCTGGCCCTCCTTCAGAGTCCTTGGACGCTAAAAGGTCAATTAACTAACATTAGATGGGTGACCTTCAGAGGATCTAAACGTTGCTCACCGTTGGGAAAAACATAGGGAACCAGGAGAACATGCCCGCCGTGTGGGTCAGCGGGTTGATGCTCAGGCAGATGTCCTTGTACAAATGGGTATCAAAGTATCCGCCGATTCCGTGCAGCATACAATCCTTTTTGACAGTAAACGTGAGCATCTTGCAGCGAGTATTGTCTATCTTCTCCGCTCGATTGGGATGCGTGAATTCAAACAGGGCCTGCGGCTCATCGATGTGGTAGATGTTCTTCAGCAGCGACACATAGCCGTAGTCGAAGGCAGGCACTGTGGATACCAGTTGACAGACATTCTGATGCAGCACAGCCGTCATGAGTGGATTAATGTACGAGGTGGACTTGTAGGGTATGCTAATGCCATCCGGTTTGAGCAGCTTCAAAGCTCCGTCCAGGCACTCGGGTGAAAGTTCATTGTCGCCAAAGGAACCGAGTAATTCGGACACCATTATGTCAGCCAGCTCGGGAGGCGAAAAGTCGCGCATGTCCTTGGAGAAAATGTGAACGTCTATAGGATTAAAGGGAATTAGGCTTTATTTGAAAGTTGTTTTTTCGTGTTCCTACCCTTGTTGGCCCAAAGTGTTTTAACCATATAGGAGAGCGTGCGAATGGCATTCGTATTCTTCTCTATAATGTACAGCCGCACTTGGCGCTTGGTCAGCTCAGCTGCATTGAACACAGCCCGCGCAAGAGGACCGCGTCCGCCACCCAACAGCATGACCACTGTCTAGAGGGGAAAATTTTTAAATTTAGAATATAGACTTAGATTTTACATTTAGAACAGTGGCATTCCCTTACCAACTTGGTTTTGGCCTCTTCATCGCTGACTTTGTCTAGCAAAGCCGCCTGTATTGCGTCCTGGTAGAGCTTGTATTTGACGGGATCAGTCTCAAATACTTCATATGTATAGCTGTCCAGATTATCGCACAGTGGCTGCAATGGGATCTCCAGCATGTTTTCATAGCTAGCAAAGGAAGGAGTTTATCACAAGAGCCATTTAAGTTAACAAATTCGTAGCATGACACGCACCTGTTTAGCATGTGTGTGTCGCAGTTCTCACTGATTAGCTTCTTCAGATAGTCCGCATACTGGGACAAAGCCTTGTCGGTGGGATTCGTGGAGATGATGATGTTGGCCCTTACAGAGATGAAGTGTCCGATGATGACCTGCCACTCCTTCTTCAGCACGCAGTAGTTGGAGCGATTCCTCACGAACAGGGAGGATGGAATAATGATGGCCTCGATGGGCTCGCCCAACCAGCGACGCACTGTCTCCTTGCTCGGCCGATCCGAGTCGTTTAGCTCGATTACAACCTTCACCTTGGTGCTCTGTTTGACGGCGATTCGCAGGTTGTTCCACCAGTGCCATGGGTCATTGTGTTCCGCGCGACTCACATCTTCGGCGGACGCATCTTTGCGGTGCTCAAAGGTGGCCAGCTCGGGATTGGTGATGGGCACCTGTATGAACCAGTTGCCTAGGGGGAAGAGATCTTTGAATAAGTGGCTACAGTTTCCGCTCCAACGACCAGTTCCATACCCTTTGTCTTGGTCCGCACAATGTCCGCCAGATTGGCGTTTTCCGGACCGCGCAGTCGCACCATCACGCTGCCCACGTTCTGCAGGTGCTCCGCCCAGGCCACGTCCCGCAGCAGCACCTCTCGGGCGTGCTGGCGCAGCTTGGCGTTCGGCGAGTCCACGTCCACGTCGGACATGGTGAATATCACCTTGGAGTTCCAGTCGACGGCGCTGAGGATTGTGGCCGGGTATGTGGGATCCGACTCGTCCGGTTCGAAGGGCACCATGTTGGCGTTGATGGAGGTGGCCACCACATTGTAGTTGTTCGCATAGGCTTTCTCGATCAGCTTGGGAATGCTGCTGACGCCCTCCTGGTGCAGGCAGACGTAGTAGGTCATCATATAAATCTCCACTTGCACTGCGCCGCTTCAAAAAGACCAAAAAATGCGGTGACCGGTGCGAGTGTGACCGTACGTCACGAGAAGTCAAATAGACCGAATGGTGTGACCGCCGCACCAAAGCCGCAAAATACTGCATACTGCATTTCACCGCATATTGTTGACAATTGTTTGTGTCGTCGTTTGCCAATTTTTGTGTTTTCCCCAATTTGTATGATAAGCAATAGCTTCCGGGCCTCCAATAGCATGTAATTCAGGGTGTTCATGGCTAACCGCGATGTATTCTCCAAGATCCTGCCAAATGTCAAGTTGGGCACCCGTTACGACGAGGATGGGCGTGAAGTGCAAGTGAGTCAACGGAGCTCTTCCTGCCGGCTGTCCCTAATCCAAATTCGATTCCCATCCAAGGTGGAGCGTCGCGAGGACTCGGATGCCACGGCCAAGGAGCAGGACACCTTCGACATCCTGGTGGCAGCGGGATATTACCGGGCCCGCATCAAAGGCCTTTCCGCCTTCGATAAAGTTGTGGGTGGCATGACCTGGTGCATCGAGTGCTGTGACTACGGTGTGGACGTGGACCTGCTCTTCCACGAAAGTCTCTCCATAGGACAGAAGATGTGAGATATACATACAATAGAAGGGTTCGGCATAAAATCACTTGCATCACTTAATTTCCAGAGCTCTGGTGGAGAAGATTGTCTCTGTCCTGATCGACATGAAGTGTCCACACAGCCTGGAGCCACATCAAGTGCAGGGTCTGGAATTCCTGGCCATACATCCCGTCATCCAGTGGCTGGTGAAGACCTCTGTAAGTCACCCACAGAGCTATAAGTATACAGTTCCGGTCAAATCAATAGCATTCTTAAAGCTTTTTATTTCATGGCACAACAGCATTTCCATTTAAATTTTCTTATAAAGTATACTATTTAAATGAAAAATGACTAAGCTTATAATAATTCCCTTTCTAGGTGGAAAATCGAGCTGAGCGTGGCCAGCGGTTGAAGAGATTCGCCATTGGCCAGTTCCACAATCACTATCAGTACAAAAGCGACAAGGACAATCTCACCAAGATACGCTTGGCCTCCACCCACATCAAGGCCATTCAGGAGCTGTACGGCCCCAGGAGGCTGTACGAGCGCCAGGAATCTCCTAGGGATGATGATGATGTGTCCCGGGTGCGACTTACTCTCCTAGAATACGGAGATCCAGGACCAATGCTCAAGAGCAGCGCAGAAAGAAAGGCAGATCAGGGTCCTGGGGAAACAGCAGAGGTGGGATTCCATTCATTTCTTTAAACCTATTCCCTATTAAAGTGTTCTCTTTTATCTGCAGCTCGATTTGGAGGAGTATCTGCGCAGTTTATCCCTCGCAAAAGATGACTTAACGGGCAATCAAAAACGAATCGATCTCGATCCCACAGCGCGGCAAGAGCTGCAACAGCACTATGCCGAGTTTAAGCTGGAAATGGAAACGGATGCTCAAGATCTGAAGGCACAAAATCAACAGAAACGTCTTGAGGCGGCCAAAATTGCCCTGGAACACAAAGTTAAGCGTTACTGCAAGGACAAGGAGCAGCTGCAGGAGGCAGAAAAGGAGCAGAAGCAGAAGACCAAGGAAGTGGAGGAGCAATTAGATACCTTAAATACTGAGCTGAAAGCACACAAGGAAACGCAGGATAATGCAGATCCAAAGTGGGTTCAAAAATACAAGGCATTCTATCAGTTGTTTGTATTTTTAATGTACTTTTTAGGCTCCTTGAAAAGGTTCAAAACCTACTGCAGCAACATGAAGAGCTGAAGAAAAGCGAGGCGGAATTTAAGGAATCTTGTCGCACCGATTTGGCTACCCTACAGCAGCAAATTGAGTACGTGTTTAATTAAAAACCAAATCTAAAGTGGAAGATTATTATATAGCCATTTATTTTCGCAGCGACCTGGAAGCATTTAGTGCCCAAGATGCGGAGACTCAAGCTGCAGCCCTGGCGGGCGAGGAGCAACGCCTGAAGGAGCTGCGCCTGCAGCTGGCCAAGCGGAACCGCGGAATCGTGGCCATCGAACGGAAGCTGGATGCCATACCCGATCGCACAGAGCTGGCCCAATACCAGCGACGCTTCCACGAGCTGCACAACGAAATGAGCGGCAAGCATCTGGAAACCAAGCAATATTACACCCTGTACAACACGCTCAACGACAAGAAGCGCTACCTGGAGAAGGAGCTGGCCCTCCTCAACTCCATCTGTGAGGCCTACAACGAGGGCATGATGAGTCCGCACGGCCGTGAGGACTTCATCCGCCAGTTCGAGTCCATTGTGGACGGGGTGAAGAGCGCCCAGGACAAGGTGCGTCACAAGTACAACGAGGAGCGGATGCGTCGCGACGAGCTGAACGAGGAGCTGCAATCGCTGCTGGAACTGCAACGTCAGTATGCCCTGGCTGTCAAGCAGCTCACCCGCGAGTGCCAGCGCTGCGAGCAGCTGCAGCAGGAGCTCAGGTCAATTAGGAGCAGGACCCAGTCCTAGCCCATTTTAACTATTGATTAGCTAACACGAAACACTCTTAGCGAATTCGTTCAATAAATTATATCGCCCCAGTTGTAGTGCAATTATCCAGGAATCCAAACGAAACGTTCTTATCCAAGCATTTTCCTCGCACATTTGTCAAGCTTAACTTTAACCTTTGGCCCTGTCGTCCCCTCTCATTTATCATATATTCGAGTATTTATGGAATTCCTGTCACTCCCGCAGGGTCAGCAGTTTATTTCCATACAGCAGTCGCTGTGTGATTGAGCATCCCACATGCAGCTAGTGAAATTTGCATATTTGCATTGCTATCAGCACACTTTATTCCGTTCCATTTGGTGCTCTAATTAATATGCAGCCCGCTTAGTGGCATGCCGAGCAATCAGAGCCACTTCAGGATCCTCGGACTGCTATGCTCCTGGATTGCTGGACTGCAGCTGCTGCTTGCGGTAAATTAATGTCCTTGCACCTTAACATTGAATTCAAGCTGAGCCATTGCAATTACATTTTATTGCGTGGCAATCAATTCCATTCAACAAGTGACATTGAGACGTGGAGTGGATTGGAGTGGAGGCGGGGAAAAATGAGAATTGTGGCCCACTTCCTGTCTTCAGCCTTCGGCCATTTGGCCAAGATAAATTTGCAGCGTATGACAAATATTTAAAGCGAGAAGACCTCCGGCAAAGGTTAAACCGAAGTCCTTGACAAACATTTCACAACTAACTTTATGGGAACTCTGCTCCCGGCTGGCCTTGTCTTCTCCACCCACTTCTAAATCGACCTTATCGAACAGAAAACACACCCATATAGAACCAGTCAGGCATATTCCGCCCATATAAAGTCTATAGTCAGTATAAATATGTGTAAAATGGGAGGTTGCCGACTCTGGATAAAAGTGAAAGCCAACAAGGACCCATATCCTCCCGTATTTCCTCATTTGTATTTGCTATGGCATTTCGCCCGTCCAAACACAAAGGCTGAATGGAAATGAGATCGAATGGGGACTGATTGGGGATGGTGATGCTACAAAAGGGTGGCCACACACACACACATGGGCCTTGACAAAAGTCAATCAGCATATTTGCTCGATTGGAGGGAGCATGCCAAGCGGATAATCGATTCGCAATGTGTTTGAATAACAAATTACTGGAAATTGTGAATGCGAAAGTCACTGTGTAGCCCAGAGCCTCGAAACACGGATTACTTTTCGGCGGAATCGGGGGGATTAAAATGTATGCAGCTGTCGATCCCCAACATCTCCATCCTGACAGCTTTGGGAATCCCCATGCGAAGCCACTTGTTGGCCCTTGCCATCTTGTTTGGTGAGTGAACTTGCGACTCGAACTATTGAACTTTGGGCTCAAACAATGAACTGTCCTCACTATTTGCTCCTTCCAGACTCCCCAGCCTACAGTCAGAGAATAATTTGTGTTAAAAATAGTGCTTAAATAGCATTTTAAGTTTTAAATTCAAATTATAAATCTATTCATAAATAGAATCTCTTTTTATATTATGTTTAGTCCCTGAAATTGTTTCTGATGCTTTGACCAATTAATGATGCTGTTATTTTATTGCAAGTTTTATAAATTTCAAATTTAAATAATTATTATATAGGGGGTGAAACAGAAATCCCTTTGTTTAAAATTCGGTTTCAAAGTTTATCATCATCACACACTTTACAATATTTACATTTCAATCAAAGAGATTCCTGTTTCTCCACAACATTATAAATGTTTAATAGCTAATTATATTTACTTATTTTTATAGTTAAATAGTACATATTTGTTATACCTTAGTATGCACCCCTAAAACAAGATACACTTACTTAAATTATTAAAATTATTATAACTTCATATCACAATATTGATTGAACGAGCTTGAGCTACTTAACATAATTAAACTCTAAAAAAAGAATTTTATTTTTATTTTATTGGTAAATATTTGACCTGACTCTTGCAGTCAAGTCAGATATTTATTTTCGAATTTCGAAAGTAAAACCGCCTCTTAGTTTCCAAGTGCACAGAGTTCTCTGAGTGTACGAAAACCGAAAGCAATAAACGTAGACATGCACAGATGTTCGAGGAAAACTTTATCCCCATATCGGCAGAATAGAAGGGAGCAAACCAATGGGGCAGCTCAAGCATACAGCCATATAATGTGCTGGCCGAGTTTAATCTAATCTCTGTGGCATGTTAATAATCGTGCCGAATTAGTTGCGTTCGATTTGGTCGGATGTCAGTGCACCTTTCTGTCAACAAAGAAAATTGCCCGTCCCGGGATGCTTGACCATCGGGGACAGCATATGTGGCAGACAAGTTTAAATCAAGCCAGAACAAAAAGCGAGCGATTGAAGCATTAATCAACTTCAGCAAATGAACCAAGTTGGCCCCTGGCCCGAAATCCAAAGGGCAGTTCGAACCCATGACCCTGACTTCTGACTTCGGACTCCCAAAATACTGAATGGTGGAGCCCCGCAAAGAACCCACTCCCCGGCCACCTCAATTTGTCAATGTGTCAGATGATCAACCGAAACGAACATTGGGGCATTGATTTAATTAATTTATGTTATT